TGTAATCAACATACTGTTGACCAATACTAAAGCAGTTAGTTACAGACAGATTGTAGTATATTGTGTTATTATACACCGTAACGCCGTAAGTTACAGCGTAATTTTGCGGTATTTTACGGGGTATTTTTATCCTACCATATTAGGAAATGCGAATTACATTAATATAGAATGATTACGCGCGTATGTGATCTCTAACAATAAAAACAAACATGGCTGCCACCAGGGTTTGACTGGACTCCGCCCAAAGGAGTTCGCTGATTCTATTCTAAACTTTTTGATTTCGGCATTCCTAGATGTATCACTTGGGGATGTATAAAGATGTATAACAATAAGGTTTTTTACGAGCATACCGCAAAGTATGCACTCAGACAGTACGCCGTCGCATCGACCTCCACTGCTCGTCAGTCTATACTTCCGCTGTACTGTCTTCGTGCATACTTTTCGGTATCCTCGTAATAACCTCATATTATATTCTATCTAAAACAAGGGATCTAGTTGTCAAATGGTTGAAACTTCGAAAGCTGTTTCTGTATTGTTTTTGTTTTGAAATAAGCATTGCTTATGTTAAACGTGACAATTATGAACTATAGACTACTTTAACTGTTAATATTGATGTAATGTAGAATTCAAATTTAATTACTGAAAGTCATAGCAAAAATATACTTTTCATCGTGAAAGCAACTGCATGTAATGTAGTACATGGTGTAAAGTTTCACCATGGGAAATATATAAAATATAAAGATGACATAGTAATGGAATTCAAACATAATCATAATTGCTATTGTTCTAATCACTCAAGTCCATACGATTTTTCTTGAACTGTACGAAATGCAAAGCCCTATAATGATTACATTGGTCAGTGAGATGCAGATCATACAAATTGAGAATGTGACGTTAAGGCTTTAATGTATTTAATTGCTTAGATACAAAGCTTTCTTAAATATCTGCATCATGCTGTTTTTTTCAAACGAGCGACTGAAGCCCAACGCACACTACGACAACAAATTCAGTTGTTAGCCGAGATGTTATTCGATTTTTTCAGATTTAAACATGTTAAAATGCCTGGGATCGTGGATGTCATGAAATATAAGAACTATATGAACCCCAATTGAATATGATTCGAGTATGAATTGTTTTTGTCTGTTAGGACCCCGAACAAGGTTGTTATATGCATAGATCGGTTAATACTTAGGTACTAGATTTAATCATATTTTATGATATCTTACAGTAGAAACAACCCTGATATTGATATAGAAACAAGGTTCTATGTCACGCAAGTAACATGATTAGATTCAAGACTACATGAACACATATGAGTGCCTCTAGCCTGATGTAAAATGAACTATTTACAACATCATATCGATATTTATACTATATTTATATCGATTTAACTCGAAAATTGTTAATACGAATTGAAATAATGGCGACAAAATTATACATGTACATGGGTTCACATGATTATTATTACGTTGATTAATAATATCGTGCGTCGAGGAGTTTAGAATCGGAAAGTGTGTGGCGGCTCTTCCCTGGAACATTGCAAGAAACGATTCCATGTTAATTTGATATACGCTTAGCAGCTGTGTCATGCTGTTATAAATGCTTCAGGGGTTGAGGTCATATGTGCATAGGTGTTCCATATTCCTAGTTAACTGTGAGTTCTCATTCTTGCAAGAGAATGATGTCTGATACATACTCGTTGCTGGCATTGCCGTTGAACCATGATGACATTTTATCATCAGTGTTCCAGTGATTTTGTTACTGATATATTCCTAGATTAATAATGACTGCTTTAGGAGCGCAAAGCATGCCCAAGAGCAAATCATGGATTCACTGAAAGATGACATGCATTATGCACAACACTACAAATCGGTAAGGTTTCTCAATCATGTTTTGCAGGAGGTGATCTCGAGATATTCTGCATGTATGTATTCCATTTACGTCAGATGGCTGTACACTGCCAAACTCAACACGCTCGATGGATCTCGTCATTTAGATGAGTTCAGCCTTTATGACTGACATTTCGCAACTTTGTGCCGCACACTGTTACAACTAAACGCATCTGATTATATATAATTTGTATTTAACTTTGTTGTTCTCTATCATTTTTCCCTGCAAGTAATGTTTCAATGAACGTTACCTGGGGACTTCTCTGCTACAATGTTTCCTAGATGCCATACCTTCTTTCTCATGTGCCGTATTGATTAATAACTCATGTGCTTAAACTCCGCTACCCCATTGAATACAAGTGTTAGCACCAGTTGGACACAGTCGATAACTACCACACACATCTCATCTCTAAACTACATATATTTAAACGTCTTGACTTTTTTAATTCTGAATAAATCAGACTACAGCATGTCTGGAACTGTGCACTTATAGGTTTCGAGCTATAATAACACTCGTCAAGGTGACTTGATGGTACCAAAATCACGTTATATTTCAGTACTGTATAAACACATGTGTTTTATCACTATTGTGATTGTTCGTTCAAAGTAGCTCATCAGTTTGTTTATGGGAAATCGTCGTAAATCAACCACGAAATCTGCTTCATTATGGTGTACCGTAATAATATCAGATAGCAAAGTGAATAAACCATTCACGATAGCTTTATAATCAATATACATAGCTTTCAAATTATGTTCGGACGGCTCGTAAAGGCTTATAAAGATGTGGGGGCGAAATATAGTATGTATTATTCATATTCCCGAAGGTAAAAACTACAACAACTGTTTTAAGTTGCTGTTTCA